TTGAAAATTTGATTGTTTACAAATTACCCATTTTGTCTCACAACTTTGCTAAAAGACTCACATTAATCGATCAGATACTAGTTTTAAAGAATTAATATGTTCTTGAAGGCTGGCTGTATATAGATAATGATATCATCCATATATACTAAACAGACTTTTCCTAGTAACCCTCGTAAAACAATATATTTTGCTTATTGGAAAGTAGCAGGAGCATTTTTTAAGCCAAAGGGCATACATGTGTAATGTGTATTCGTAATGTCCATAGTTAAAGTGTTTTGACTCTGATTTTCATCAATCAAATCCTCTATAAATCTCTTATAATAGTTTCAATCAGCTCCAACAGTTTTCGAGCTACGAACCTTCAAAGTGCCTTAACTCTGATTCAATTGGAAAATATAATTTATCAAAATATTTGAGGTCAAAGTTTTAGGAAAATTTACCAGTTTGAAGCAATAATATGTATCTCAAAAATTTCTATACTAGAAACATTGTAAATGTGCAAAAATTATAAGGCAAGTATTCGATTTTTACGTATGAAGCAAAACGATAATAAGCTGATAAGGATATTATTATTTATTGAGCTAAGAAAAAGATTCAAAAAATGTTTATCACACTCGGGTTTTTTCCTAAACCGAAATTTATAAAAATATTATCTGGTTTGCCTTATTATTGAAATTTTTGACTCCTGATTCAAAATCCAATTTTTCTAGAGGCAATCAAGAGCAAATTAAAATAGTCCAATTTATGATTATAATTGACAATAAATCAAGATTTTCAATATTACCGGCTTGATTCTATGGACCATTTTTCTAGAAGTGATCATTTAAGGCTTGTAACAATTTAAATTTTAGTCATTACCAGCTGTAACAATTTATTTAGAGGCAATCAAGAGCCGTTAATAGTTAAAATTTGAATTATTATCGGCTCTTGAATTGTTGGGAAATGTAATCAAGAACTGAAATTGTCTAAAATTTTGATTTTCTAGATAATTTGTCTGGAAGGTAATCAACAGCCGAATCTTGGAAAGCTTTTGAGATAAACTGAAAAAGGTTGGGTTAGTATTTAACCAAGACACTTTGAAATACAGAAATTTTTGTACATACTAAAGAATCAATCCAAGAGTCGTTAATAGTCCATTTTTTTATTATAATTGGTTTCTGATTCAATGGACAATTTATCTAGAGCCGGTAGATAAAAGTTTAAATTTTTCATTATAATTGGCTCTTCATTGTCTCTGCTATTTAAGATTGAATCAAGGAACAACATTTTGATTATTACCGGCACTTTGATTGACAATAATTGAATTTATCTACATACGTGACCACAAATCCACAATTTTTTGGTCTTTCATTTTGTGCCTCTTCTCCAAATTTGATGAGCAGGTAAAGGAAGAGTTACATTACTCTCCCACCATCATAAATCAACTTTCTAAATGTCTAAGATACAAAAACAACCTTTTAAGTTTCATGTTTCAAGAAATATAGAAGTTTTTTCCAATGTATTTGTCCTTTATTTCGTGTCTCTCCTCCAAATTTGATGGCAGATAAAGGAGGAGATACATAACTTTTCCACAAAATAGAAATTAAGTTAGCAGATGTCTAAGATACAAAAACTACCCTTCGTATGATTTAAGACATGAAAAATAAATAAATTTTTTGGTCTCTTGTTTTGTATCTCTTCTCCGAATTTGATGGGCAGGCAAAGCAAGAGTTACATTACTCTCCCACTATTGCAAATTAACTTTCTAAATGTCTAAAATACAAAAACTACCTTTTAGTATGATTTGAAACATGAAATATAGAAGTTTTTTTCAATTTATGTGTCTCTTATTTAGTGTCTCTTCTCCAAATTTGGTAAGCAGATAGAGGAGCAGATACATAACTCGTCCATAAAATAGAAATTAAGTTAGCAGATGTCTACGATACAAAAACTACCCTTGGTATGAAATGAAAAATAAATAAATTTTTTGGTATCTTGTTTTGTGTCTCTTCTCCGAATTTGATGGGCAGGCAAAGCAAGAGTTACATTACTCTCCCACTATTGCAAATTAACTTTCTAAATGTCTAAAATACAAAAACTACCTTTTAGTATGATTTGAAACATGAAATATAGAAGTTTTTTCAATTTATGTGTGTCTTATTTAGTGTCTCTTCTCCAAATTTGGTAGGCAGATAAAGGAGGAGATACATAACTCGTCCACAAAATAGAAATTAAGTTAGCAGATCTCTAAGATACAAAAACTACCCTTGGTATGATTTGGGACATGAAAAATAAATAAATTTTTTGGTCTCTTGTTTTGTGTCTCTTCTCCGAATTTGATGGGCAGGCAAAACAGGAGTTACATTACTCTTCCACTATTGCAAATTAACTTTCTAAATGTCTAAAATATAAAAACTACCTTTTAGTATCATTTGAAACATGAAATATAGAAGTTTTTTTCAATTTATGTGTCTCTTATTTGGTGTCTCTTCTCCAAATTTGGTAGGCAGATAAAGGAGGAGATACATAACTCGTCCACAAAATAGAAATTAAGTTAGCAGATGTCTACGATACAAAAACTACCCTTGCTATTTGTGACATGAAAAATAAATACATTTTTTTGGTCTCTCGTTTTGTCTCTTCTCCGAATTTGATCGGCAGGCCAAGGAGGAGTTACATTACTCTCCTCTCTCACTATTATAAATCAACTTTCTAAATGTCTGAGATACAAAAACAACCTTTTAGGTTCCATGTTTCAAGAAATATAGAAGTTTTTTCCAATATATTTGTCCTTTATTTCGTGTCCCTCCCCAAAATTTAATGGCAGATAAAGGAGGAGATACATAACTTTTCAACAAAATAGAAATTAAATTAGCAGATGTTTAAAGCCGCGTCCACATCAGTAAAAATTTACGTTGTACGTGGCATTCGGCACAAATTTGTGTGTGCGATACAAATTTATGCGAGTGTAGACATGTTCGCCGCATACGGCCGCACGCAAAAATTTTCGCGGCATTCAACGCACGCGATCCGCAGGTTGTCGGTTTTTTTCAAAACATCAAAGGGATTTGCGGCGCAACATCGTCCTAGTGTGGACGTATTTTTTCGCGAACGAATCGATTTTGATAAATTGTGAATCTGTGATTATGTCTTCTGATGGATTGATAATACTGCAAAAAAAAAATGTGCTGCTTTCATAGTTATGCGCCTCCTTATTAAGAAAAAGAAAGAGAAATAAAGAGACAAAACCAGGAGCTATTGGATTAAGTATCTGTATCAGCATAAGAAACAGTTTGATGGTAGCACATTATGGAATATTCTATCTATCGATGAAAGCACAGGACATTTCAAAAAAAAATTGCGTATGTCTCCAAATAATTTTGAATTTTTGATACACAGGCTTAGGAAAGCCATACACCACTGCCACACACGTTTTGAGCAAGAACGCACAGCGCACAACACAAATATTTATGTGGTTCAAGATACCAAATTTGCGCCGCAAAAATTTGTGGCGAATCCCGAATTTAACGCAACGCATTTATTTACTAATCTGGACGCGGCTTAAGATACATAAAAAACTACCCTTGGTATGATTTGAGACATGAAAAATAAATACATTTTTTAGTCTCTTGTTTTGTGTCTCTTCTCCGAATTTGATGGGCAGGCAAAGCAGGAGTTACATTACTCTCCCACTATTGCAAATTAACTTTCTAATGTCTAAAATACAAAAACTACCTTTTAGTATGATTTAAAACATGAAATATAGAAGTTTTTTTTCAATTTATGTGTCTCTTATTTAGTGCCTCTTCTCCAAATTTGGTAGGCAGATAGAGGAGGAGATACATAACTCGTCCACAAAATAGAAATTAAGTTAGCAGATGTCTACGATACAAAAACTACCCTTGCTATGATTTGAGACATGAAAAATAAATAAATTTTTTGGTCTCTCGTTTTGTCTCTTCTCCGAATTTGATGGGCAGGCCAAGGAGGAGTTACATTACTCTCCCACTATTGTAAATCAGCTTTCTAAATGTCTAAGATACAAACTTTTAGTATGACTTGAAACATGAAATATAGAAGTTTTTTAAAATGTATTTGTCTATTATTTCGTGTCTCTTCTCCAAATTTGGTAGGCAGATAAAGGAGGAGATATATAACTCGTCCACAAAATAGAAATTAAGTTAGCAGATGTCTACGATACAAAAACTACCCTTGCTATGATTTGAGACATGAAACATAAATAATTTTTTTGGACTCTCGTTTTGTCTCTTCTCCGAATTTGATGGGCAGGCCAAGGAGGAGTTACATTACTCTCCCACTATTGCAAATTAACTTTCTAAATGTCTAAAATACAAAAACTACCTTTTAGTATGATTTGAAACATGAAATATAGAAGTTTTTTTCAATTTATGTGTCTCTTATTTAGTATCCCTTCTCCAAATTTGGTAGGCAGATAAAGGAGGAGATACATAACTCGTCCACAAAATAGAAATTAAGTTAGCAGATGTCTACGATACAAAAACTACCCTTGCTATGATTTGAGACATGAAAAATAAATAAAATTTTTTGGTCTCTTGTTTTGTGTCTCTTCTCCGAATTTGATGGGCAGGCCAAGGATGAGTCACATTACTCTCCCACTATTGTAAATCAGCTTTCTAAATATCTAAGATACAAACTTTTAGTATGATTTGAAACATGAAATATAGAAGTTTTTTTCAATTTATATGTCTCTCATTGAAGTGTCTCTTTTCCAAAATTGATGGAGTGATGAAGGAGGAGTTACATAACAACAACGATAATGAAGTTGGTACTTACTCGAATTTCCAAAAATCGACAGCTCAGGAGTGAAACATTTGATTAATATTTTGCAATTATTAGATAAAGGAAAGATTGAATCAAAATTCTCTTCTGCTCACTCACCTTGATCAAGAATTAAACTCAACTTTAAAATTTATTACCTTTCAAAAAACGAAATATTTATAATCTAAATTGCAAAATGATTGAAAGTCTTTTCTTTTCAGATGTTACTGACAGAAATCCTCAACAGGCCCATCAACGACGGCAAAACTTTCTATTTCATGGGAAGAAACATTCCTTATTGGGTGTACAACGCCTATTGCGCCATCGGCATGATGGCCTTTGGTGCCGCTTGTTCACAACTAACAACTGACGTAATGAAATACACTATTGGTAAGAATTATATTTTTCTTTCCTGTCAACATAAAGGCTAATTTTTCATTTTTATATAGGAAGACTGAGGCCTCATTTTTACACGGTTTGCCAACCGAGTATAGACTGCACCCTGGCCAGCAATCAAAATGTTTATCACACAAATTTTTCATGTACGAATCCGTCTTATATGTACAACAAAAGGGTGATGAAGGAAATGAGGCTTTCGTTTCCATCGGGACATTCTTCCTTTTCTATGTTTACTATGACTTATTTTGCGGTAAGTACCCAAAAAATCTAGTTTGATAAGATGTGGTTATATAGGTGTGAAAATTTTCACTCTGTATATATGAAGTTGACCTCAGGCCATATACAAGTATCTAGATAAAATTATGCATTCTTTGGCACCTCCTTTTTACCGCACGAATCTCGAAATTGATTTTACACGCAGAGGGTATTATCAAGCCTCGTGAATAACGTAATATATTCATTATGATCTCTGTCATTATATATTATACTCTGGCTAACAAGGCTCGTGTGAAGTTTTCATGAATGAGAATTTCTTGTGGTTTTAAAATAATTATAATCTTCTTTTAGAATTTGAATAAATGCCTTTGCAAGTCTGATAAGTACCAATAAGTTATTTATGGGCAAGATGTAGATAAACTTGGAATAACGAAAATTATAGGCATAGTAATTTTAGTTCTTTATGCTTTACCATACTGTAAAGACAATTAAAAAGTTAACGATGTAGGTAGTTACCTTATGATTTAGATTGTGGAAAATTTTGGAAGGGCATAACTTTTTTTCTGTTATAAATAGAAAGCTGAAATTTTCACTGAATCATATCTGAATAAAGGGACTACAATCCCTGAAAATTTCAGCTCATTTGCACTTATAGTTCCTGAGATAAAATCGTGTTAAACAATTTGGGGTGATTTATCAATTTTTCAATTTTTCTGAGTGCCTTTTTTCATAGATTTTGGCGTCAAATGTGAGAATAATTTAGTGTATGGAGATTGGGGTATATTGATTGACTATTAGGATACAAAATCTCGACAAAAAAAAATCTTTTTTTCTATTATAGATAGAAAGCTAGATATCTTTTTTTCTATTATAGATAGAAAGCTGAAATTTCACTGAATCTTATCTGAATAAAGGGACTACCATCCTTGGAAATTTCAGCTTATTTGCACTTATAGTTCCTGAGATAAAATCGTGTTAAGCAATTTGGGGTGATTTATCAATTTTTCAATTTTTTTGAGTGCCTTTTTAATAGATTTCGGTTTCAAATCTGAGAATTATTTAGTGTATGGAGTTTGAGGGATGTTGATTGACCATTAGGATTCAAAATCTCAACAAAAAAAAATTGAAATTTCATCGTTTTAGTAAGAAGGTAATGAAGGTATGTTATTAAATTTGCAAAATTTTGTGTTACATATGTATCTGGATCTTGCCTATTTAAAAATAACTCTTAGCACATTGTTATTATGTAGAACGATGTTATTTACTCATTTATCTTATCAAAAGCTAATACAAGGTCGACAAAATACTATATCTTAAAGCCTTAAGTACAGTAGTGTCGGTATACTTTGCTACGGTTGTCAGACCTTTTCTCTGATATTTTTTTAACCGATATAGCAATTTGTATAGCTACAGACTATGTATAAATTATTAACTTGTACTAGCAGAGTAAGTTAATATTTATAAAGGACTAGCTGAAGGTTTCAGGTATCCAATAAACAACACAAAACAGCTTCTAACTGAAGACTTCTTTATTAATTAATTGCAAAATGTAGAGCGCCAAAAACGTAAACAAAGGCCGCTTTTCGACAGACACGACAACCCTATAGGCGATTACACACGGACGTGGATGTCCTAATACATATACGTGCATACATCAACGTGCAAACAACAACGTGCATGGCGCTTTTGTACAGACGCTCGCACAAAATTGCAGTCTTGCTACAGTATTCCGAGTATGCATACAAAATTGCACATTCAAAAACGCGACGATATTTTGCATACACATTGATGTTTTTGTTTGCGCGTTCATGTATGTGCGTACATGTTTCCAGACATCCACGTCCGTGTGTAACCGCCTTATGTTGGACATTTGACAAATATGATTAGGTTATAATGACTCAAGGAGTGCGTTCGAGAACAGGTTAAATTGTCCTAAAAGGCGGTTACACACGGACGTGGATGTCTGAAAACATGTACGCACATACATGAACGCGCAAACAAAAACATCAATGTGTATGCAAAATACCGTCGCGTTTTTGAGTGTGGAATCGCTAGAAATTTTGTATGCACACTCGGATTACTGTAGCAAGAATAGCAAGACTGCAGTTTTGTGCGAGCGTCTGTACAAACGCGACATGCACGTTGTTGTTTGCACGTTGATGTATGCACGTATATGTATCAAGCCATCCACGTCCGTGTGTAACCGCCTAATCTGATACGTGTAAATCAATACTCCCCCTCAATTTAACATTTAAAACAGAAAAATATTCTTCTAAATACTACATTATTCTAATGAAAGTTACTTACTACATAATAAAATTTAACAAAGTTCGTTAGTAAGTAAAGAAACACTACACTTCAATTACATTGAGTTTTTCTCTAAAATATAAAAATTTGTTCTTATTTAAGGGTTTCGTAAATAAGTCAGCCACCTGTTCTTCTGTTGAAATGTAAAATATAGCTATCTGTGATTTATTTACCAAGTCCCTTAAAAAGTGATGTTTCACATCAATGTGTTTAGTTCTTTTAGATTCTAACGTTGTTGCCATCTTGATACAAGCCTGATTGTCCTCGAATATTTTTATAGGATAAACATTTAAATTTAAAATTTCTTTTAAAATTTGTGCAATAAAAATACATTCACAAGCACAAGTAAACAAAGCATAGTATTCCGCTTCTGCACTCGACAAACTGACAACTGACTGTTTCTTTGTTTTCCAAAATATTAAGTTATTATAAAAATTTATAGAAAATCCACTAATACTTTTGCTGTCAAAAGAATTATTTGCAAAGTCAGAATCAGCATTTGCTGTTAAAATGGGATGATCTTTATCTAGTGACTTAGTGAATTTTAATCCAAAATTTTCTGTTGACTTTAGATATCTAAGAACGTCTTTTAAAAATGTCCAATGTTCCATACTATAATTATTCTGAAACATGCTAAAATACGTAACAGCAAAGCTTATATCAGGCCTACTATCCAGCATGATATACATCAAGGAACCAATAAGTTGCTTGTAGGGAACATTGTTCATCTTTTCATTAGAAAGTTGTAAATTCAAATTTGGTTGTATTGGTATATTTCCAGGTTTTGAATCTTGCATGTTAAAATTTTGAATAACTTTTCTAATTAAATCTTTTTGATTAACCAAAATGCAATTTTCAAATTTAGAAATATTCAAACCCAAAAACTCCATGTGATTCTTGTTTGTCATATCTCTCATTTCAAAAATATCCATTAATTTGTGTTTAATTTTATTTAATTTAAAAACTGAATTAGAAACCAAAATAAGGTCATCAACGTGTACCAATAGGAATAAATTTTTATCAAAATACAAACAAGGATCAGCTTTTGATCTGATAAAACCTATTTCAATTAAATGCTGATTTAATTTATCATACCAACACTTGGGAGCTTGGCGAAGTCCGTACAGAGCTTTTCTGAGTTTGCATACATAGTCCAGTGCAACATCCAAGCCATCTGGAATCTCCATGTAAACTGTTTCACTCAAAACACCATTCAGAAATGCACATCTAACATCGAGTTGATGTATGTCCATATTTTCTTGTACACTTAGAGATAGAAGTAAGCGTATTGTAAGCATCCTAGCAAAAGGTGAGTATATTTCTTCCTGAATGTCGGTCTGCAGGAAACCTCTTGCAACAAGTCTTGCTTTCTTGATTATCATTCCATCTCTTTCTTTTTCAGTGAAGACCCATTTTGAGTCTATCACTTCCATGTCTTTTTCTCTAAGTACATAGTCCCACGGCTGATTTGTCATATGAGCATCAAGTTCTTCTTTGATTGCAGCTTTCCACCCATTATCTATCTTTATGGCTTCTGAGTATTTTTGTGGTAAACTCGTAGCTGATAAAGCTGCCATAAGCTCAAAATCTTCATCAATGTCTAATTCATAGTCTTGTAATTTTCTTGGAATTTGTCTCTCTCTGTGTGGTCTCTCCATATTATTTGGTTGGACACATCTCGGCGTGTCTTCATATCTGGATATCTCATTCGCTCTGGGTATTTGGTTGGCATTGGGGGTCTGGTTGGCTTTGGGTATCTCTTGAGGTGTCTCAAATATATCAATATTTCCATTTATCACTTGCTGAACTCTTTTTTTATGATATTCTGCTCTTGCTGTTTGTTTTTCTAAGATCTTTGACTTTTCCTTTTCTTCAAATACAACATTCCGTGCTATGATAACTTTATTTTTTTCATTGTCCCATAAGCGATACCCATTGTTAGCGTAACCCACCATCACCATTTTCTGCGATCGGCTATCTAGTTTGCCTCGTCTTTCTTCCTTTGGTATATGCATATATGCGTCACATCCGAAAATTCTTATTTTGCTCAAGTCTGGTTTTGTTTCGTACCAGATGTCAGCTGGAATCTGACCTTTTGGGAGGCATGAGGTCTCTGTCCGGTTGTAAAGGTAGACTGCTGTGTTAAGTGCCTCTTCCCAAAATTCTTTTACCAAGTCTGAGTCAAAAATAAGACATCTAGCTTTTTCTAGTATAGTTCGGTTAAAGCGTTCCGCTACGCCATTCTGTTCCGGTGTGTATTTCACAGTATATTGCATTTCTATGCCTTTATTTGCACAGTACTGCTTAAATTCTTTTAAAATGTACTCCCCACCACCATCACACCTAATCCTTTCTATTTTCAAATCAAATTTTGCATTTATTATTGCCATATAGATCTTAAACTTATCAAAAACTTCTGATTTTGTTTTAATAGCGAAACAGACAGCAAAATGTGAAAAGTGGTCGATAAATGATACAAAATATTTCTTACCGGAATGGCTTTCTGGTGTTATTGGTCCACATACATCTGTCGATGTGACTTGCAAGAGTCTCTTGGCCTTTTTGTCTTCATCAATCGACTTATGGGGAAATTTTGTTTGTTTACCTTGCAGGCATGTCTCACATAACTCAACACTAGGAAACTTCGAAGAATGTCCCATACGTCTGTGCCATAAATTCATCTCACTAGTAGTCAGAGTAGCTACACTACTGTTCCTTTTTATTTGA